AAAAGATCATTATTAGGATCTACATATACTTCAAGTGATACACATGAGTGCAGTTATAGCGCAATTTTTTTATCTTTTGAAAAAAAGGTTTAAACCAAATTAATAAAAAGATGACAGCTGTAAACACCTCCATCAATGTTATATTGTTTGGCCCATCCACTGTAGCTGTTTCTTTTGCTGGAAAAATCACAATTTTTACAGCACACCCCAGCTTAGCTGACATGCATTTGGACACTGTAGCTAGCATTACATAGAAAACCACCTTTGTTAGTAAACTCTAAGGGGTCTATTCAAGAAGATGCCGAAGGATCTGGCCATAGCTTCGGCCGATCCTTCGACTAGCTTCGGCCCCAGGACCCCTTCGGTTCAGTAGAACCGAAGGGGGGCTGTACGAGCTATTCACTATAGCCCTACAGCTCCCGAACCTGGCCGAGCCGAACGCATATCCATCGGCTCGGCTGAGCTGTGCTGAAAGCCGAAGCTGGACGAGCAGCCGACAGCCTGCTTCTGACAGCTGGGCGGAACCAGCCGTGATCTTACGGCTGGCTCCGGCCACTTGCAGAGAGATCAGCGTCCCTGGTTACCTGCTAACCAGGGACACTGATCTCCAAACAGCTAACTCTCCATGGCACCCGGGAGTCTCCTGCTCCCAGCCACCAAGGAGAGAAACACTGCTGTGTTTTTTATTTATTTATTCTGACACGTAACGATGTCAGAATAAAAAAATTAGACCGAACAGCAGTTAGTAGCCTGCCGGAGGGTCGGCTCAGCCGATCCAGATGTTGGATCGGCTGAGTCGAACTCCTTCTGCACTTCAGGTCAGCCGAACATGATGAGCATGTTTGGCCGACTCGAAGCCATGTGAAGCAAGCCGATGTACGGCTGATTTCAGCCGATTTATGGCTGAAATCAGCCGTACCAGCCTGAAGTGAATAGCCGAACAGTGTTCGGCTCACTTCACTTCAGGTCGGTCATTCACTCGGCTATTTGGAAACAATTCATGCACAGGTACACACAAATAAGCTATAGTATTTCAGGCCCATTGCCTGGTGTAATAGTGAATGTTTTTGCTGAAATTACATTTATGGGTAAGAAAACAGAAGTACTCGAGGCAAGTGTTCTACTTATACATCAGGGGAATCCTTTTTTCTTTTAAATAAGTGTTTTAAATACGGGGTTATTCACAAAAGGGTGAAGAGTTTGGAGAATGCAGGATAAGTGAACAATGTAGGACAACATAGCCGTTTTGGAACAATTCTCCAATTCCGCTCACTTTCCAGTTCAGTTATGTTGTCCTAAATTGTTCACTTCTCTTGCCCTCTCCAAACTCTTCATCCTTTAGTGAATAACCCTGATAATGATATATTGATACAAATGTGTAGGGTTTTATATGCTCTCACTTTACATAATCACACATTTTTCATACATATCAGTATTAGAGATAAGCAAATTTTAGCAATTTGCCCCTGTGGACAATTTGTCAGAGAAACCATCAAGAGTTTTCTCATTAGGTAAATCTTCTAAATCAACCTGTCATATGGTGAACTAATAAAGACGATATTGGGTGCTATTTTAGTTTGTCCAGTGTATTGCAGTAGGGATGAACCGATTTGCTTGGGTTTGATTTGTGCGAGTTCATTTAATCCTGCGTGAAGTCTAAAAAACCTGAACTTAGTATTGAACACCAAAAGATCAATGGGGACAAATCTTGATACAATATTCTAGTAATTTTCATGGTTAAGATGCAAGGTATTGTCAAAAATAATGTATTGGCAAAAAAGGGCACTGGGAACTGGGCATTGCCATGCGAGATATTTAACAAAATTACAAACATTTTTAAAAATCACTGTACATCAGGTGAAGGGTAATTTTTATCTGACTTCAAGGGTGACATGGAAAAACACAAATCCTTTCAAATACATGCTTGGGAGATGCCATTGAACTGTATATGGTATTACTGAGCATTACAATTTTCATGGGCAGTGTCACTGCCACTGCATTTTGGCATCACATGTTTTGGATTTTGCAATTGAATTTTTAACTTTTACGTTTAGCTTGGCTTAAATACTGCAGCAACACCCAATCTGATTCATTTAAACTTCAAAATAAATAATGTTTTTGGTAGCTTTGGCTACGACACATTTTTTTATCCAATGGTAATAGGCCTGAATTGAATGGTGGAAGAGGCAGCCACAACAGATCTAAAATCAATGGAAACATTGTCTGTTAAAAAAAAAGCTTTGTAGAAACAAGCCAGTGGCAAAACAGCATAATACTGGAGTAGTTTGTGAACTTTTTTCGCAATCTTGCAATAAAAATCTGAGAGACAATATGCAGAAATATTGTTGAGTGGCTGGACAGTATGTAAGCAGCTTGATTAGGCCACAATATAGGAGGCAGAGAGGAGGCTGGTTTTATCTTGAAATAGAAATTGGAGTGTATTATTTTACATATATGCTTCTGAAACAGAAGAAAAATGTCCCCAAATCAACTTCATGCCAAGTGGCTTTATCCAGCTTTGCCAAACACCTCTTCTGCTGGTTTAATAAACACTTCTGTCTGCGGCAAGTAAAGAGGAGCATTGGGGTGCTGATGGTGAGGAGAAGGAGGGTTGGAGTGGTAGTGTTGAGAAGGAGAACAATATGGGCAAGGATTCAAGGGGTATGTTTCACCCCTCCTGAAACCCATGAGTTGTTTATGAGTTGGTTGAGATTTTGGGTAGGATTGCCACCAATGTAGAGGGAGTTCAAAATTTGTTACTTTGGTGAGGTGCTGCGAATAACCTCTTTGCCACATTTCCTGATCATGGCAGGATTCCCTCTTATGAGTAAGCTGTCTCAAATCCTCTGATCCCAGAAGAAAACGTTTTTTTTTTAAACAACAGCAGGCGGGCCTGGCTGCGGGCAATACTCACAGACAGCTCCAGAACTATGTGATTTCTGGCTACATTGGTTTATGAGGAGGAGGGATGGGTTGCTTGTGGTGAAGAAGAGAAGGAAATGATTGAGACGTAATAAAAGTATATATTTATGTCATTATAGGAAGGGCACTGGTGGCATAGCTGCAGAATGGAAACCTACAGCCAAGGGCTGCCAGCCCTTTACCAATGCAGGGGGAACACCATCAGCAGCAAATGGAGAGGATAGATTATATGACAGGGAATGACAAGCAACATAAATATATAAGCATAGAATCCTACAGACATAGATTGCCCACCTTTCCTCAAATAATTATTCAAAGGGTAAACGGCAGTCAGTCTAGACCACTGTCATAGACCAAAGGTTGTGTTTTGTTTGTAGCAGGTATATATATTTTTTACAAGCCTCAACATCACCTTGTCCCTTCGCAAAACCAAAAAGGGTTCCCTCGTGAGGAACCCTTCGTAGCCATCACCTCCTCTGCAGGAGGTGATGGCTACAAGGAATGTCTCCAATGGATTTAAAAAGGTCATTTCTGAAGCACAGAGAAAACCTGATTTAGTTCCTGTGGAGTCATAGGGGAACACACAGGGGCAACTACATGGTAGACTCCCAGCACAAAGCTCTCATTCAAGGTATAAGGGCCAGTGGTCTGTGAAACAATGTAAAATGCGCAAGAATCTGAAAACTTTGCTAATGAAAAGAGCCAAACACTGATCCAGACCCAGCCCTTTTCCCATCTGCCTTTGCTATTTTATGTTTTAAAAAAATATATATTTATTGATTTTTATATTGTTTTAATTTTTACGTTTTCTTTGTAAGGCCATCCCTGCCCTGGTCAAGCAAGCAAAGGCAGGGACAGCAAGGCCCTTACAAGAGATCATATCTATGGACTACTGTGTGTCAAGGATGTCCCACTGGCTGGAGGTGGCAGAATATTTGCCTGGAAGTACTAGCCCACTCTGTTCACGTGTAATGTCAGAGATGGCCTTCAGTGCAGCAGGGGAAATGTTTGACTGAGAAGCTGAATAATTTAATAAAACAAATCAGACCTAGATCACAGAGTACTATCAAACACCCATGGCAGATATACATTCAATTAAAAAAATACCAAACACTACAGGTATAGGGATAGGACAGTGGGTTTCAGGGAGCACGTAGGGGCACATGTGCTTGAGGCAACATGTAGTCTGGTATAACGTTCTAACTTGTTTTTAACTGCACAAACCAACAAGCAAGAGACAGAAGGAATAGTTTCATGCTTTTTGAACTGTAAAGAGCAATTTGATCTCCCCCAATATCTCCTGCAACCCATATGGTCTTCTTGCTGAATGTAGCCCCAAATGTTCAGAGGTGGACAGAAAGGGCAAAACATTAAGGAAAAGTTATCTTAGTTTGTACACTTTGAGGCTTGGCCATTATGGTAATTACAGCCTTTTGAATGTGCAATAATAAACTATTTTTGGTTTGACAGGATGGATTTTATTAAATGTGCAAATTGCTTTTTCCCTTACTGATTAAGTCTATAAATGAACAGTGACAAAATATTATAATCGGACCCCTTCCCCAAGACTGGACCCTCCATTAGCCTCCTTCTCCTGCATTAGACCACATACTCAGCATTGGTGTTGAGTGGACACATACCTATCTCCTGTGCTGAGTCTGGAACACTGTTGCTTGTTGTGAAGAAGTATGAAGCTGCCCTTGCTACTTCTGAGAATGCTTGTTGACTGTTTTTCATGATTATCTAGTAGCTCCAGTACTTTCTAAATTACTGACAAGGGACAAGTAGAGCTAAAGTTCTGACAAGCTGACTTCTCCTAATCTGCATGAATATTTCAGAACTCAAAGTAATGAAGGCAGAGACAACCAGGCTGCTAGCATTTTTAGGTCAGCAACGGAAGCTTACATATTTCTCTCAGCACAGGTTTTCTTGGTATTTAAATATTCACCAAAATGCAGGAAAAAAATATTTACTTCTGAAATTAATGAGTTTTGTTTGTCGACATGGAAGTAACAGGAAACAGCTGCATTCACCTGAGATCATTGTGTCCTTTATGAATAATTCACACTGGATTCTGAAAGCCGTGTGAAGGTTTAGCAGTCTTCCTTAAAGCAATGAGCTGAAAGCATGGATCTTTCTGTGTTGCCAAATAACAATCACCCTGACAAATTTCTGCGTTTAGATGTAAAGACTTTACTGGCCAACTCTGCAGTTCTGCATTCACAGCAATGGCATAACAAGCTGTACATGCGGGTGAGTACTCCTAGCTGAATGAAACACCTAACCTGCTCATTATAAAGTACTTGATGGACATTCATGTGTTTAATATATGCATGTGTGTTTGTATATCTCCAGATGAACAAGGGTTGCCGCAATCAGCAGATATTTTATTATAGCAGTCAGTCCAAATAAAAGTGGCTAATGTTTTGGGCTCCACAGCTCTTCATCAGGACTGAGTGCTGCAACCCTTATTTTTATATATTGTGGACCATATGAATAAAGGTGGAGTCAGTGGGGAGTTCCTGGATACTAGCCAGGCCCTAGGCTGTCTTGTTTATTTATATACATTTCCAGAACACATTATTTAGCATATTGAATTAATAAATTAATTTCTGTATCAGTAGATTATACATCATGATTCTATATACTTCCTAGGGGCAAGTTTATTTTAAGTTGCTTTACCCAACTTTTGGATTATATTTGCCATCCCAAGAAGTGAAAAAAACATGTGGAGGTATGACTTCCAATGAAAGCAGCCTAACTAAACAAATATTTCAGTTTCATATGGTCAAATTACACTGGTACATTGTCATATTTAGGGTCAGAAATGCTTCCTCTCTGCAGTTGCTTATATATATAGCAGTTGTACATTAATTCACAAGTTTCAAAGTATACCCATACCCAAAAATAAAATGATTTGCACATATGCGTCCAATAACAAAATGCATAGAACAATTAAATAAATTGTATTTTATTCTATCATAAAATATCTGGTTCTCCTGGCAGCTTCCAGGAAACCCTCTAGGTGGGTGATAACCCTGCAGTGCCTGTAGTGAACTTAGTGCAGTGTCATCCTCAGTAGCTGTTCGGGGCTGCGGCACTATGCACGCTGCGTAACATTCCCATTAACACAAGCCATGTAATCCAGCGGATTGGCTTGCATCTAGAAAAGGGGACACAGGGCACCCTGGTGGACCCTATGATTACATCACAGGGGCAAATTAGAAGACTTTGTGCCATGCCAGAAAAGGTTTTTTAACCAGTTGACATCCACGGTGTTAAACCCCCTTCCCATCCAGGCCATTTTTCAGTATTCAGCGCTGCGGTACTTTGACTGACATTTATTCCGTCATGCAGCGCTGTACTGAAATGAATTTTATACCCTTTTTTGGGGACAGATAGAGCTTTCTTTTGGTGGTATTTATTCACCACTGGGGTTTTTATTTTTTTACTATATTAAGGAAAAATCACCAAGCCTTTCCGTCCATTTTTCTACTACGGGCGGACGGCAAGAGGTTAAAGAAAAGTGGATTGATTTTCTAGGGAAGGATAGCCAATTATCTTAAAAAATTTGAGCGGAGATTAACTTTTTGTTAAAACAATGGAATTTACATTTAATGCACACATCTTTTCTATGCTCTGTTTTTCATGTATGAAATACTGTACATTGTATGCAGACATAGTGAATGTTGACTCTTTTTTGTATTGTGGGACACAGAATGAAAACAGCAATGAAGCAAGGCAGTCATCAAAGGTGCAAAGCCATACAGTAGTTGACAAGACCTTGTGTGAACATTTTACTCCAGAAATTCTGAAATCCACAATTAAAACCAATCCCCTGTATATGGATATAGCAAATCAGGAGACAATTATTACCACTAAGAAAAAGCCATCGTGGACCATTCAGGACTACGACCAACAGTCTCCAAACCCAAAGATATCTCTGTACTTGAAGGTATGGTGTCAATTACTACAATTTTTTACTTTACCAATTTTTATATTTACCATAATGTAGTTAAAACTACATTATGGTAAATAAATATGGAAAAAATAATACAGAAAATGTATCAGATTAGATTATTTTCTCAATTTTAAAGAGTTCATAGTTTAAGTAAGGGCACATTCACACCAGATCCAGGAACATAGCTAGCCAATAGGATGCAAAGTCAGTGATGTTGCCATCACCCATATCCTTCAAAAAAGTATTTTCCTATGCTTGGGTAATGTTCAGAATTATCAGTGTTTGGTAAATGTTTAGTAGCATGTTAAGTATCTTAGCATCTTTTAAAGCCTTTTGACATTTTAGCTCTGAAATGCTCCTAAACACAGCTCCCAGAATTCAAGCTGTTTACATTTTTTAGTCATATTGCCACTGGAAGTAAAAAAAAAGTCGGAATATACTAGTAAATTGTTGAGTACAGGAGATTTTCAAAAATCCCTTAGGAACATGTCCTAGTGTAAATAACTCCAAACAAAACATCAGTTACTTTTTTAATACATTTACTGAGCTTTAACGTACTTTACTTTTCCTGGAGCTTTAAGCTTCTCAAAACGACTCATATTGTGAAAACCTCTAAATGGGAAATGCCCTTGATTAGGGACGCCCTTGTCCCCAATCCCCCCCTGTACCATCCACTTCCCCAACCCATACCCCCATGCTGTTACTGCCATATTTGTTATGTTTGCAACGGCTATTGTCTTCATGTCTTTTGTCATGTAATATATGTTTGGAAAAGCTCAATAAACATTTAATATACAAAAAATAAATGGGAAATGCCATCATGTCTAATTTATAATAAACAGGAGGAAGAATGTTGCTGTATAAAGCAATTCCATTTCAGCTACCATTTTTAGTTAGGAAATCTTATTGGTTGACCTGCAATACATGCACTCCCTATCTTCTACTATTTCTTTTAGATCAGCCTATTATAGTATAGTGATATCTCCAGTTGCAAATCTAATAGGACAAACAAATAGGTAAACTCTGGAATGCTGGAGTTAAAACAAGTGTTTAGCACCATAAGGCCAGGACAGTAGTGCTGCAGCTAATTTCAATTTATTTTCAAAATCTATTCGTTAGCCGATTATTAAGTTCAATTAATCAGTTAATCGGATAAAAAATAAATAAAGTTTATTTATTTTAAAAAATGGCTCCAGTGATGGGACTACTAGTTTGAGATTGTAATCCATCACAGGAGCAAGCTTGGAGCGGTGGAGGTAAAAAAGAAAAAAAAAGTGTGGTGTGCAATATAGTGAAATGAGAAGTGTATAATTATACAGCAATGAATGCAGAATGGCACCGGCTATAGAGGACTACAAAACCCAGCAATAGTACGTTATACAGCGCAATGCAGAATACCACCAGCTATAGAGGAATACAAATCCCAACAATACATTACAGAGCACCATGTGGGGGAAAGTGCAGGCTTACCTGAGCAGTCTTCCAGCAACTTGCTTCTGAGATCTGGCCTGTCTATCGGGCCTGTCATCCTCCCATGCCTGCTCCTCCTTACTTCTTCTCCCCGCATCCCTGTGCCAATCATGGATGTGGGCGGTGAGTGTAAACCGGAGAGGAGGTGCGGCGTGTGGAGCGTGGATGCGGGCGGGTCTGGCAGTGGTGAGCGTGAGGTGGGGAGGAGGTGCGGCGTGAAGCATGTGTGGGGCCGTGAACAGGGCCAACTAATCAGAAGCTGATTAATCGATGATTGAAAAAGTTGACAACTTTTTCAATAATCGATTATAATTGATTATGTTGATTAGTTGTTGCAGCCCTACAGGACAGGCACCATAGGAGTAAGGGTCCTCTGGCTAGAACCTGTTTCATGAGACCCAACCACCTGGCTAATTGTAGCCTTATATACATACAGGTGAGACCAGTTAAAGGGTATGTGAAGTCACAACAACAACTCAACACAAAAACAGTTTGGATAGAGTAGGGAAGGGTTAAAACCCCTGTCAGAATATTGCTTGCTGTCTGTCTTCCACTGGGTAGATTTCTCTTCACTTGAAGATGCAACATAAAATAAGAGGAAATCACATTACATATACTTTATGCTTCTGAATTACTCTGCTCTAGCTTCAGATTTGGCTCCAATCCACTTAACTGATGTAGACAAAATTTTATTTTGGAAGAATGGATTAAAACTGCTGTTTGTTCAGTTATGTGCAAATATATTTTTCAAGATAGAATAGTGAGAGCTGGACAGGTGTTGAGTAGAAGCTTGATGGTTGTTGAGTGGTTCCTATTGACATTTCCTCCTTTCCTGTGCATTCCTAAAATGCTGCAGCTGGAGATTTGTAATGATGTTAATAGTGCTACTAGAGAAAGTTATGTTATAAGAGTACCAGTGGTGGGGTACATAATAATGAAGCTGCTGGTAGATGCGTATAGAGCTTGAATCGTTCACTTCTGTTTAACAATGCTACTTAAAACCATAGGATGTGGCAACCCTAATCACCCGGCTGTTGGTATCCCATGTATTCAATGTCTATAGGCAGAGTCCAGGCCCCTTTTGGGTGGCCACTGTGTCATGGTGCTCACCAAACATGATGGCATCCAGGGTGCAAACCTGCACTTTCAGAATTCCAGATTATGCTATTGCTGGGTGTTTTTCTCAGGCAAGCAGCATGGAGATTATCTGGTGGCTTTGCAAGTCCATGCTAGCAGTTTAGATGGTTCTCAGGCTGTTGTCACATCTACATATGGATGCTGTGAATTTCAAGGAGGGAAAGCAGGGGGCCCTGATATTTAGAACACGTTGGGGCCAGATCTTTTCACAGTATTTTCACTCTCTGTCCCTGCCACAAAGCTATGATGCCAAATGAAAAATCAGGTTCATGGACATTAAAAAAAAAATCTAATTCCCTCTAAACCTCATGTCTTTTTTTTAAGTGAATACAATAATAATGTTACTCCATTTAGTAAATCAATCCCATATAAGACAACAGCACTGGTTCTGAAAAGGTCTTAAATCAGAGCTAAACTTTGGACAGAACCTCCCTCACCCCCACCCCTAAAATTCCCAAATTATCACCTTACTGCTAGATCAAGGTCCATCTGTAAACATGTGGGCAATACTGTACTGATACTTTAGTTTTACCTGTAGCCAAGAGCGGGATCCGTGTCACACAGGCACTGATTGGCTGTGCAAGCACAGAAAGTTCCCTGTCTCACACAGATCCACAGTCATAGGTCAGCCATTACCCAGTGGTTCTCAGAAAAGCCCCAGATCACCTACAAGATCTTTGAGTGGGTCACAGTCTTAATTTTTTTATATAGGGAAGCAGGGAAGTGCAGTGAGCAGAAGATTTAGGCCCACTTTACATGTAATATATATATAAAATATAGCAACCTTAATCTTAAATTTTTTGCAGGAGAATCCAAATGAATTAAAGTATTGGCTCGAAGATATTTATACACCTGGGTATGACTCTCTACTGAAGAAGATGGAGAAGGAAAAGAAAAAGTCCAAACTCTGTAAACGCTTGGCATTTTTGGCACTGGCACTTTGCATTCTCATTGCCATAGTAACAGTTACTGTTTTGTTTACTTAAAAGTGATTCTTTGGTTAATATTTTAACATACTTTTATAAATCTGTAAAAATTTCACAGAATTAATTTAACATACAGCAGGTACTGTTTTTATAATAATAAAACAGAATGTCACCATCTGCCTGGGTGTGCTTTGTACATTATGTGGAATGCCATGTTTCCAGCCAAAGTGTCAAACTGTTCATTCCAATAAGCCAATGTGACTCCTAAATGTGAGATTTTGAATATAACCACAATTAAGTCATTTTTTCCACTTCTAACCTATGTGCAGTATATAATATAGAGAGGCTTACAACTGACTACTTTGAAACGACTGGCAAACTTGAATGTGTCTATGTCACGCTAGCAATTCTGTTTTCACCAGCATCAGGATTGTTAAAATGTGCAGTGTAGTTATCTGAAGGGTTCCCCAATTTCTATCCTCATAGCCAGATCAGGATACCTCTGTGATTTTCTTGCAGGTTGGATATCACTCCTTTGCTGATGAAAACAGTGCAGAATACCAAAAAGAGGAGCACCTCACTCATCCAGTTGACAACGTAATGACATCTGCAAGCAGGTGAGTATTTCACTGACCTGCTGTGATGATGCTGCTGGTGACTTGTCAGCAGTGACAGGATCTCTGGTCTGACATGGCCTTTATACTGCATTCACATTTGGCTGTTTCTGGACACATGCATGGATATTAATGTACTATCCATTGCAATACACATAGCATTGCACGTCAACATGCTTCATTGCATGTGATCATACAGTATGTAAACATGCACCTATGCACATCAATGCACATTTTTACATATGTGGCATGTGTTACAAAGCACATTAACATGTGTTTTCATGTGTTTCATCGATAGGTGTAAATAAGCCCCAAAGTATTGCAACAACTCATCTGCTTTGTAGCTTCAGTGATACCAAAGCATTGTGTTGAGATTCAATGCCAGGCTGCAGAAAATAAGTAGCTTTTGTACTAGTTTGTATATATAATCCAGGGAAATTAAAGCATCCTTGATGAATCAGGGATTCTGGAAAACTGCTCGCTGGGCCTTCTGTTTTTTCTTACTTGTGCAAACCAGTTAGCTACTATCAATGAACTGTTGCCATAGATCAGTTACAGAGTTTAATGCAAAGTATCAAGTGGCCGGAAGCTCAGGTTGCAGTTTCTCTTTTGCACCAAAGTGCGTAAAACAATGTCACAGCCAGCAGCAAGGAAAAGACTTCTGAATGACTTGGTGTTAAATATATTTTATGCTCAGCGGTAAAAGTGGAACACTACACTAACACTTAGCAAAGCCCTAAGCAGAGGAAGCAAATAAAATACATTTAAGATGAGGCCCTTGAGGCATGAACAATATAATAAGATTAAACTTAAAGTAACCTTAAAAAAATAATAGAATAAAATAGTGCAACAACTTTTCCTGTGCAGACAGATGTAAACGGCCAGACTTTACCTGACTTTACGTGGAAATAAAATGGATGGCAGAAGTAAAATACATTTCCTTTTATGATATATATATATATATATTGTTCACCCATCCATCTACTTTCAGAAACATGAAGTTCCCGCACATACAATAAATCAATTTGCTAGCAATAGGATATTCAGGTTTTAAGGACAGGTAAAGTTAACCTGTGTCCAGACTATTCACAAAGTATTTACATATTTAAAACAAGCAGTAAAATGACTTCAAACACTTAAACTCCACATGACATTTATAAACTTTAAGGATTTTTAGTGGTTAAAGCAAGCTCAGCCATGATCTTAGCATAATTTTTTTTCAGCCAACTTATGGCTATTCAGTAAAAGTGATCCGGGCGGTTGTACAGCTACCTGATCACTTTTAACATGCCTGATTGGGTACGGTCACTTTATTTTTTTGTTATTTAAAACAAATAGTCTGGGAAGATTCTCATTCACCCAAGTCCTGGTATGTCTGTATAAAATAAATCAAGGCAACTGGACTTGCTGTATTTTTCTTTTCACTGGTCTTCTGCGTAGCTTTCTAGATTCTGAATTGAGAAAGCTGGTTGGATGACCAGCGAAATGTCTTCAAGAAAAATACAGCAAGTCCATTCGCCTTTATTTATATTTTCCATATCCCTCAAAATCCATTTATAGTCCATGCCACAAATTTAAAATACATTAAACTCTAGGGAAAAAATAAATAAAAAACACATGCCCATTATGCTGTTGTGAACTATGCCACTACTACATCCTTGAGTTTTCTATTTTATGTTTTTGTTTTTTCTTTTAGATTAAGCAATGATGATTAGATTATGCAATGTTCTGATAAAGAAAAAAACACTATCAATATTAGTATTCATTTTATTTTACAATTAAACTAAAATATTCTTACCTTATGAAGGAGGACCCAAAATACCAGTTTCAAATCTCAGCCTCTGTTCAT